TATTGATTGATCATATAACAAGTTTATTTTGAGGCTTTCAGTTCTGCTCCATTGGTCTAATTGTCTGTTTTTATGTTACTACCATACTGTTTTAATTACTTTAGTTTTTTAATATTGTTTGAAATTGAGGAGTGCGATGCTTTCTGCTTTGTTCTTTTTTCTTAGGATTTTGTGTGTGTGCATGTGTGTGCGCGTGTGTGTGGGGGGCTATTTGGGTTCTGTGTTTCAATAAAAATGACTAGATTTCTTTTACATATATATATATTTATTTATATATTTTTTTTTTTTTTGGTAAAAAAACCCATTGGAATCTTGATAGGAATTGCATTGAATCTATAGATGACTTTGGATAGTATTGACATTTTGAAAGTATTAATTCTTCCATATTGATTTTTATATGTTGAACCATCTTTGCATTCCAGAGTTAAATCCCACTTAATCATGTATAATCTTTTTAATGTGCTGTGAATTCTGTGTGCTAGTATTTTGTTGAAGACTTTTACATCAGCATCCATTAAGAGGGAAATTGCTCTGTAGTGTTTTTTTTCCTTGTAGTATCTGTATCTGGCTCTTTGTATCAGGGTAATCTGGCCTCATAGAATGATTTAGGAAGTGTTCCTTCCTCTTCAGTTTTGTTTTTGTTTAGTTTTGTTTTGGTTTTTGAATGTCAGGAGAGTTGGTGTTAATTCTTTAAATGTTTGGTCAAATTCAGGAGTAAAGCCATCTATCTGGTCCTTAGATTTTCACTATTGGGAGGTTCTTTCGTTACTCATTTAATTTTTTAGCTATAGGTTTATTCAGGTTTTCTGTTTCTTCATGATTTGGTGTTGGCAGTTGTGTGTTTCTAGGAATTTATGCATTTCTTCTTGACTCTCCAGTTTTGTTAGTGTACCATTGTTCATTGTATTCTCCTATCCTTATTTCTGTGGTATTGGTTGTAATATCCTCTCTTTCCTTTCTGATTTTATTTGAATTTTTTTTAGTCTAGCAAAGGGGTTATCAGTTTTGTTAATGTTTTAAAAGACAACGTTTAGTCTAATTATTTTTTTCTTATTCACTATTTTGCTTATCTGTGTTCTAATCTTTATTATTTTCTTCCTTCTGCCTGCTTTTGGTTTAGTTTGTTCTTCTTCCAGTTCCTTGATATGTATTATAGGTTGTGAATTTGTGATCTTGCTTTAAATAAAAAAAGGAAAAGAAAATGACACCCTTTTAGCTAGTCATAAAAACTTCGTCATATCTCTGCTTTTTTTTCATCCTGTAAGTTCTGATAATTAGTGTTTTTATTATCATGTCAGAGTATTTTCTAATTTCACTTGTGACTTATCTGACTCATTGTTTTTCTAAGAGTATATTGTTTAATTTTCACATTTGTGGAATTTCCAGTTTTTCTTGTGTTGTTGACGTCTAGTTTCATTTTATTGTGATTGGAAAAGATAGTGTGTATGATTTCAATTTTCTTGATTTTGTTAAGACTTGTTTTGTGACCTAATGTGTTCTATCCTGAAGGATGTTGCATGTGTACTTGAGAAATGTATGTTCTTCTGTTTTTGGATCTGGTGTTCTGTGTGTTTCTGTTAGGTCCAGTGGTGTGTAGTGTTTGTTCAGTTACTCTGTTCTCCTTAGGGTTCTTCTGATTGTTCTATTCATTATTGAAAGTAAGGTATTGAAGTCTTATAATATTATTTTGTTGGTGTGCATCCCTCCCATTAATTCTTTGAAACTTTGCCACATTAATTTAAAAGCTCTGAGGTTTGGTGCATAAATACTTGTTATATCTTCCTGGTGAGTTGACCCTTTTGTCATTGTAAAATGTCCTTCTCTGTCTCTTGTAACAGCTACTGATTTAAAGTCTTTTTGTCCAATACTGGCATAGATACTCCTGTCTTCTTTTGGTTACCATTTACATGAAATATCTTTTTCCACCCTTTCACTTTCAGCCTGTATGTGTCCCTAGTTCTAAACCGCTTCTCTTCTAGACAGCATATAGTTGGAAGTCCATTAACTTTTAATATTAAAAACTGGCTCAGTGAAGGATTCTTTAAAACTTAATTTACATCACCCTGGCCAGTGTGGCCCAGTTGGTTGGAGTGTCATGATGTAACTAAAAGGTTGATAGTTTGATTCCTGGCCAGGGCAGATACCTAAGTTGTGGTTGGATCTCTGGGTGCTGGGTGCGTATGATCCCTGGGAGGCAACCAATCGATGTTTTTCTCTCACATCAGTGTTTTTCTCTCTCTTTCATCCATGTTTTTCTCTCCCTTTTCCTCTCTCTAAAAAGGATTGAAAGAATATTCTCCAGTGAAGATTAACAAAAAAATAAATAAAATAAACTTAATTTATATCAAAAGGTATTTAACCTGACATCAGGGAACTGCTGATGAGACCTTAGTTCTGAAGCATTTATTTTAAGAATCCTCCATCAAGTATTTGGGTTACACTATGACCAGAGGTGACTGTGGGAAAGCCAGTCAAACATGTATTAGAAATTATTTCTTTGAGGAAGTCAAAACAGCCAGGTAAGTAATAAAAATCAGGTGTTCTGGACAATGGATTTTTTTAGTAAGAACTTTTAAGATTTAATTTTTACTTTGGGGTTTCTTTTTAGCCAATACAGTGAGGGGGAATGTTCTTATTTTCGCACATTGGGTTACTTGTCAAAAGTGCTAGTTTTTTCATACTGCATCATCAGTTTTCTTCAGCTGTTCTCGAACTGAACCCTGTCTTTGTAAGCTATTGTGAATCAGCCATTTTCAAAGACAGGTACTCTCATGCTTCACCTCCAGTATTTGGCTGCAGAAAATAGCCATTTTGAACTTTCATTTGAGCATTCGTCTTTCCTGGAGGGCCTAAAGAAGACTGGCTGTGCCACAGCATTGGCTGTATTGTTACATATGTATGGATTTCAGATTGCCGTAATGAGTTCACAAACAGCTTTCTTTGTTTTTTATGCTCTCTTATGAACTGCCATTGAATGTTAACCAGTGTCACCCCAATAATTCAATAAAACGGAAAAAAATTGTCATTGAAGTAATGTGGGTGTGCTGCATGGTGCTGTATCTTTTGAGAAAAACCTCTTGGAAGAGTTGATATCTTAGACATCTCTTTAGTTATTGAATAAATCTTCAGTTAAGCAGGCCTTTTTATGACCAAAAACACCTTGTTGTAAGTGCCCTGTACAAATGTTTTGTTAGTGTAGTAACCGTTTTAATTCTGGAAAAAAAGATTCCTTCAGAGGCTCTTTCACATTTGTTGTCATTAATATTTTGTCAGTATTCTTTTTTTTTTACTCATACCTGCCTGTTTTTATAACAGCTTCCTTTTCTATGGACATCGTGTCTTTTTTTCTTTATTTCTTTGAGCATATGAGATATTCTTATTTTAAAAATATGTTTTGAAAGCATAGTTTGTAATTTCATTTTTGTTTTTTGGTGCACTGTTCTCTGCTTGGTATTCAGTGGTTGTCTTTGCCTTGCCCCTTGCATCTATCTGCTTGTGTAGGAGGAAGTCTAATATTGGAAGCTTTGGGTTTTTATTTTCCAGGGATAATGGGAAAATTTCAAAAACCAGTCCTGTGCCAGTGAATGACTTGACCTAGTTCATTTTTGTTTAATTGCCTCTGCTCTTTTTCATTTGCTTTGTTTTAGCATTGGGCAGCACCACAGCTTTAATGCTACCTTCTGCAAGTGGATGAGCTCTGTATCAACCCAGTTTCACAAAATGAGCCTGACTTTTATTTTAGTCCTTATTATTAATTTCTTAGGTGTCTCAAACATTAAGATTTTAAAACACCTGATTTGCTTGTCTCTGCTTGCTTCTTTTACCTCTGGCGGGGGGTGGGCATAGGCTGTTAAGGAACTGCTGTGGTTTATTGGAAAGTATGTTGCGTCCTAACAGGGTAACTGTTAAGTTCCCGTGTTTCCTTATTTTTTTTTTAATTTTAAAATGTTTTTTAATTCTTATTTGACAGAAAAGTCTTACTTATTTCTTTACTGCTGGTGTATAGAGTAACTGAAAGATTGCCACTATTTGTATGTTATCTATAGAGTGAAGCAAAGTATTCAACAATACATAAAATCAGTAAAACTATTGTGAGGTTATCAGGTTATCAGATTCATTTACAAAAATCTTTAACTTAAAGGAAATATTTCTGAAAGCTTATTGCAGATGTGATAAATTTTTGATAAAAATATCTTTTCAGTCATATACTTTAAAAATCCATGAACCATACATAACTGTATCATTTAGTTGAAGTCCAATCAATGAGATTCAAATTTCCATATTCCCAATGTCAAGAAAGCTATAATGGGCTCTCAGCCAACTTTCAGTCACTTTCCCTGCTACCCACAAGCAAATTTGGGCCCTTCTGGTGTTGCTTCCTGGGTGGGTGGGTTTGTGTACGTTCTGGGGCCCTGTGGGTCTCTCCAGTGTGCTCTCCTGTGAGGCTGGAAGTTTCTCCTGCTGCTGCAAGCCCACCAGGTTTTTACAGCCAGAGATTTTGAGGCTTTCTTTTACCGCTCTGGAACCCTGGATTGCGCGGTCTCTCTCGCTCCCCAGCTATTTATTCCTCACAATCTATCTGTGCGTAAATGTGGGACCACATGGTCTGCCAGCTGCCTCCTTTCCACCTGCCCTCTCCACACTGGCAGCCTACCTCCGTCCCCCCTATCAGTCTGAATGAATGATTCTTATTTAGCTCCTTGGTTGTTGGACTTCCATACAGTTTGATTTTCCAGCAGTTCTGGGTTTTTTTCATTTTTTAATTATTTGTTGTCCTCCTTTTGGTTGTGCGAGGAGGTAAAGTGCATCTACCTATGCCTCAGTCTTGGCCGGAAGTCCTATGTGTTTCCTTATTTTTAAGTGAAGGTAATAATTTGAACTGTGGTGGTGATGTTGAAATGTCATTTTATATATATGAGAAAGTGTTTTGTAAACTGAGAAATACAGTCTAAATGTTAAATTTTGTTAGTACTCTATTTAAATCTGTTTTTAATTTTCAGGTTGTTCCACTGACCAGTCATGTATGGCAACAGTCATTATATCAAGACAAGAATAGAACACCTATTTCTGAATCTAATGTGGTTTCTTTGGAAGAAACAGCTCAGTGGGGTTCTGGCGATGATCTGGTATGTCTTATGTAACTGGCAAACCACCTTTCCTTTAGTAAGCAGCATGAAAAATTATTACATAGCTATGAATAATGGAAAAAGATGAATTACTTTAATATTCCATTTCTCTAATAGATCTTTGGAAATCTTAACTATAAAACAGCAGTTCACTTTGTGTGTGTGTATCTGTGTGCGCACATGCATGCGCATGTATGTGTCTGTCTGTCTGTCTGAGGACTCCTTTACTTTCTTCAACAGTTTTTTTAAAGGCTTTGTTTATATGGGCTATCTATATTGATATTCAGCTTACTAGAAATTAAAACATTTAAAAAATGTTTGTTTAAAAATACCAAACCCATTATATGTTACATAATGTATTTTAAAGTGAAAAATGACGATTTTCCAAAGCAAAACAAAATTATTTTGAAGAGTGACATTGTTTTACATTTTTGCGTATCTCTTTAGTGTTTGGCTTAATAGAAGACAGTTGGTCTATTAGAAAAATAGAACCAGTAGGAGACATATATATTCTCTCATTCTCTCCCCCTCTCTCTCTCTCTCTCTCTCTCTCTCAAAATCATGATTATGGAGGCTGAGAATTCCCAATATCTGTGATCTGGTGAGTCAGGAGAGCTGTGAGTGTAATTACAGTCTGAGGCTGAAGGCCTGAGGACTAGGCCAGTTGATGGTTTTTTCTTTCTGAGTCCCAAGTCCAAAGGCAGGGGAAGACCAGTGTCCCAACTCAAAGTCCATTAGGCAGAGAGAACGAATTCTCTTTCTCAGTTTTTTGTTCTGTTCAGGCCTTTAATGGATCAGATGAGTCTTGCCCACATTGGGAATGGTAATCTGCCTTACTCAGTCTATAGATCCCTCTGATGTTCATCTTATCCAGACACACCCTCACAGACACACTCCCTAAAATGTTTAGCCAAATATCTGGACACCCTGTGGCCCAGTAAAGTTGACAAATAAAATTAACCATCATAACTAGATTCTCATGTATGCCTCTACATGTGGTCCTTTGGGATATATTGTTTCCATTGAAATATGTAAAGAAAATCTGGCCTTGCAAAGAGATGTACTTAGAAAAGGCAGGCTCACATAGATTCTCTAAAAGGATGTTGGTGACCCCCACAAAGCCTCAGGCCATACTTTGGGAACCATTGATTTAGAACATAGTCATAAACTTAGAAGAAATGGAAAAATTATGAGCAGACAGGAAAAAGCTCATATTTATATTTTTAGAGAAAAAATAAAGCCTTACTCATAATGGTTAAATATTTAAAGTTGATTATTTAACAATGTTATAAGAAAGTGTCATAAACTGTTTTCTAGAGTGATTACCATTTTACATACTCCACAATGTATGAGAATTCTAGTTGCTTTGCATTCTTGTGAGCTCTTGATATTGTCAGTGTTTTACATTTTAGCCATTCTGGTGCATTATGGTGTCTGTGTGTGTGTCTGTGTGTGTGTGTACGCCCGTGTGTGTGTGCTTTAAGTCTTACCTGAGAATATGTCTGTTGATTTTCGAGAGAGAGGAAGGGGCGGGGAGGGTAGAGAGAGAAAGAAAGAAACCTCCATGTGAGAGAGAACCATCAATTGGTTGCTTCCTGTACACACCCCAACCTGGGGTAAAACCTGCAACCTAGGCATGTGCCCTGACCAGGAATCAAACCCAGAACCTTTTGATGTACAGATGCTTCTTCAACCACCTGAACCACCCTGCCAGGGCTTGTTGAGGTTTTAATATACATTTTCCTAATGACTAATAATATTGTACATCTTTTCTGTGCTTATTTGCCATACATGTTTCTTTAGTGAAGTATCTAAGTCTCTTCCCCATATTCTTTTGGCCAGTTCCATTTGTTGAGTTTTGAGAGTTCTTTATATATTCTAAATGTAAGCCCTTTATTAAATATGTGTTTTGCAAATATTTCTTCCCAGTGTGTGGTTTTTCTTTACATTTTCCTATCTTTGAAAGAGCAGAAGTTTTAATTTTGTTGGAGTTGGTTTATTGATTTTCGTTTTTTATGGTTTATACTTCTTATGTCCTATCTGAGAAATTTTTGGCCTAATTCTAGGTCACACAGATTGTCTTTTTTTTTTTTTTTTTTTTTTTTTTTTTGGTTAGAACAGGGTTTCTCAACCTTGCCCCATTTGACATTTTAGGCCACATAATTTTTTCTTGTATGAGCTGCCCTGTGTATTGTAAGATGTTTAACAGAATCCTGAGGGATGCTCTGTCCTGCACTGTCTTCCCAATCACCACTGATGAAATAAATTGTACCAGACATGATTTACCTGTCAAGAGAAGGGGGTGGTACTTACCTCTAGTAGAGAATGCCCCGAGCCCTTCTCTGAAATAGCTTTTATTGAGAAAGATGTGCATAGGGGTATACAGTATACATGCATGCAAAGCTTATCAACCTACTTCAGAGGGCTATAGATAACAACAAAAGGAACACATAGATCAGCCTTGGGTTAGGGTCTGTGAGACATACAGACACACCAGATGTTCAGTAAGGCGTGGTCCAAGGACTCAGGAATTATTTCCTCCAGCCTTGATGTCAGGTACCTGGTTTTTCGTTATCAGGGCAGTACTAAGCAGAGCAAGCTTCAGTAAATATAATGCATTCTTTAGTCCAGATCTCCCCCTGGGACCCTTGGTGCTAGTATCAGGTCATGTCTGCCTCCCAGCATTCCTGGCTTTCCTATTGAGGCTTACAGGCAGGGCCTAGGTTGTGCAGGGGCTACTGTTCCCGATACCACAAAAAGTGGTCCCCAACAGCATCTTTAGTCTTTTCCCACTAGATACCAGTAATACTCCCCATGTTTGACCGTATATGTGTGGGTCTGTTTCTGGACTCTCTATTTTGCTGATTTATTTGTCCCTCCTCATCTCAATACTACACTCTTAATTATTGGACCATCTTGAAATCAGATAGTATGAGTTCTCCCACTTCTTTCTTCTTTTTAAAAATAGTTTTGTTTATGCTAGATTCTTTGAATTTCTATATACATTTCAGAGTCAGATTATCAATTACTATTTCAAAGGTCTGCTGGAATTTTGATTAACATGGAGTCTGTATATTTGCAGAGAATTGACATCTTAATACTGAGTTCTCTAATCCACAAACACAGCAGTTCTTTCAGTTTTATCTTCAGTTCTTTCAGGTCTTTAATTTCTTCATCAGTATTTTGTTGTCTTCAGTGTACCAGACTTAACACACATTTTGTTAGACATACTGGTGTTTTAAAAAATTTCAATTTCCTATTGTTCATCACAAGTATATACAAATTTAATTGACTTTTTATGTTGACCTTGTATCCTATGACCTTGCTAATCTTATTTATTAGTTCTAGTACTAGCCTTTCTATAGATTCTTTAGGACTTTCTATGTAGACAATCATAACAACTATATTTTTTTCCTTTTTAACATACAGACTACTGTTGAACAACATGGGTTTGAACTGTGTGGATCTTATTATACACAGAGTTTTTTCCTAAGTACCTGCAGTGTTTTCAGTCTGTGGTTGGGAGTCTGGATGGGAAGGGCTGACTGTATGCATTCATCTATGCCATATATGTAAGGACTGGAGCATTGGTGGATTTTGGTATCTACGGGAGTTATGGGACCAATCCCCTGTGGATACTGAGGACAGTTAAATTCTGGGGGAGTCAAAAGTCAGAAGATTTTCAATTGCACAGAGGGGTTGGCACCCCTAACCCCAGTGTTGTCCAAGGGTCAATTGTATATGCCCTATATCACTGGCTACTATCTACTTGTTCTTCTACTTGATCTATTGATACTTTTGTTATCTGACCTCAACTCTGAACGCAAGTGTTACCAACAATGTTTATGTAGCTGAATACAGTGAACACTTTTCTATCTTCATCTTAGGTGCATGCAATGAGTAGCATTTGACACTGTTAACCATTGCATAACTTCTTAAAAATCATTTCTTGCCTCTCCTGGTTTCCTTCCTACTCCTCTGGCTATTTATTCTGTTTTAGTTTTCTTTGCTGCTTCATGTTTCCTGTTAAACCTTGAAATCAAAGGTTGCAAGCTGTGGACCTGAATATGGCCCAAATATAATTTGCAGGAACAATTTTTTTAAGTGTATTTTATTGATTATGTGATTACAGTTGTCCCATGTTTTTTCTCCCCTTCATTCCCCTCTGCCCTGTACCCTCCTTCCCACCAGCATTCCCACCCCTTTAGTTCGTATCCGTGGGTCGTACATATAAGTTCTTTGGTTTCTCCATTTCCTACAATATTCTTAACGTCCCCCTGTCAATTTTGTACCTATCATTTATGCTTCTTATTCCCTCTTTTCCCCCATTCTCTCCTCTCTCCCTCTCCGCTGGTAACCTTCCATGTGATCTCCATTTCTGTGATTTTGTTCCTGCTCTAGTTGTTTGCTTAGTTTTTGTTTTTAGGTTTAGTTGTTGATAGGTGTTGTTATTTTACTGTTCATAGTTTTGTTGTTCTTTTTCTTAGATAAGTCTCTTTAACATTTCGTATAATAAGGGCTTGGTGATGATGAACTCTTGAACTTTACCTTATATGGGAAGTACTTTATCTGCCCTTCCATTCTAAATGATAGCCTCGCCGGATAGAGTAATCTTGGATGTAGGTCCTTGCTTTTCATGACTTCGAATACTTCTTGCCAGCCCCTTCTTGCCTGCAAGGTTTCTTTGGAGAAATCAGCTGAGAGTCTTATGGGAACTCCTTTGTAGGAATTGTCTCCTTTTCTCTTGCTGCTTTTCAGATTCTCTCCATTTCTTTAATTTGGGTAATGTAATTATGATGTACCTTGACCTGTGCTTCCTTGGGTCCAACTTCTTTGGGACTCTCTGAGTTTCCTGGACTTCTTGGAAATCTCTTTCCTTTGCCAGATTAGGGAAGTTCTTCATTTTTTTTTTCAAATAAGTTTTCAATTTTGCTCTTCCTCTTCTCCTTCTGGCACCCTTGAGATTTGGATGTTGGAACATTTTAAAGTAGTCCCAGAGG